TGTCTCGCCGTGCTCAGCCGCTTCATCTCACGCCTCGGTGAACGAGGACTCCCCCTTTATCGACTTCTTAAGAAGGCCGACCACTTCGAATGGACATCTGTGGCCCAGGAAGCACTTGACGTAGTCAAGCAGCTTCTGATGAAGGCCCCGGTCCTAGTTCCTCCAACCGATGGAGAACCCTTCGCTCTACATTGCGGCTACCACACAAGTGGTCAACGCCGCCCTGGTGGTGGAGCAAGAAGAGGGGCACACCCTCAAAGTACAGTGCCCCATGGACTTCATTAGCGAGGTCATATCCAACTCCAAGACCCGCTATCCCTAAATCCAGAAGCTCTTGTTCGCCATCCTTATCGCCAAAAGGAAGCTACGCCACTACTTCGAGTCACATCCAGTGACAGTTGTGACGTCCTTCCCTCTCAGCGAGGTCATCCAAAACCAGGATGCCACGGGAAGAATCGCGAAGTGGGCGCATGAGCTGATGGGTTAGGGCATTACGTATGCCTCTCGGACGGCCATCAAGTCCCAAGTGTTGGCTGATTTCATTGCAGAGTGGAATGAGGTCCAAATGCCACCAGCGGTCATCGACCAAGAGTACTAGACAATGTACTTCGATGGATCGCTGATGAAGAAAGACGCCGGCGTGGGGCTGGTCTTCATATTGACCCTCGGGGTACGTATGAGGTACATGGTTCGCCTCCATTTCCCCTCCTCCAACAATGTGGCTGAATATGAGGCACTTATCAATGGCCTACCCATCGCCATCGAGTTGGGCATCCGATGCCTCGATGTTCGGGGCGACTACCAGCTGGTCGTCGACCAAGTCATGAAGGAGTCAAGCTGCTACGACACCAAGATGGCTGCATACTGCCAAGAAGTCCACCAGCTGGAGGATAAGTTCGACGGCCTTGAGCTCAACCACATTCCGAGGTGTCTCAACGAGGCAGCCGACGCGCTGGCAAAAGTGGCGTCCAGTTGAGAGCCGGTGCTGAAGGGTGTCTTCGCCAGCGATCAGCACAAACCCTCGGTTCCCTATGAGGAGCCAAAACAAGCCGGTGATGGGACGTCCGCTCCAGGCTCGGGGGCTGACCAGCCGTCGGCTCCATCTGGCCCTGAGGTCACAGAGCTTGACGAGGATCCAGCGACAGAGCCTGACCCTCTGGTCAATTGGAGGATGCTCTACCTCGACTACCTCCTCCGCGAGACGCTACCGACGAACAAGATGGAGGCTCGACGGCTCGCACGTCGCGCCAAGTCCTTTGTCCTTGTAGAGGGCGAACTCTACGAGCGAAGCCACACTAGGATCCTGCAGCGCTGCATCCCTACCGAATAGGGGAAGTGTTTGCTGAGCGATATCCATGGTGGGGTCTGCGGTCACCACGCCGCGCCTAGGACCCTGGTCGAAAACGCATTTTGACAAGGCTTCTACTGGTCGACCGCAATAGCCGACGCTGAGCAGATTGTGAGCACCTGCGAAGGGTGTCAGTACTACGCTCGGCAGATTCACCTACCGGCCCAAGCGCTCTAGACGATCCCCATCACGTGGCAATTCGCAGTCTGGGGGCTCGATCTGGTCGGACCTCTCAAAAGAGCGCCCGAGGGCTACACCCACTTGCTTGTCACCATAGACAAGTTCACAAAGTATTGCTTTCCGCAAACAAAAACAAAACAGCAAAACCATATTGTCTATCATATCCTTGAGAGTCGAAAAACTATTCCCACTAGTCGAGTAAGTATTGCGAGTACATTGTGTACTCAGGGTTTATTTTACCCCTGTTGCAGGTGCAGCTTGAGGAGTAGCTCTTGTGTGAAGGATTCTTCTGATGGACACAGATGAATCCTTGTATCATTTCTGCTAAATGTTTATTTTCTTTCCGCTGTTTAATTATCTCACTCTGAACCCTGGTACTGTAATAAATAATTTTCAAGAACTCTTGTTGTATGAAATGGACTAAGTATTGTAAGCTCGTACTCATTATTGGATTCTAGAGGTAAAACGTGGATTGTTTCGAGTTCTCCCTTGGGTGTGCTCGATGGAACTGTCCAGTGTAGCTCACTTTTCGAGGTGCTTAGTGTCTAGTGGAAGACGCGTCTACGAAAGTGTGTTATTTCGAGACGGTTCTACCACAAGCAGTCTACACGTAGCTGTCGGTTAGAAACATATAAAGTAGATGTCAATTGGTTAACGTCTGATTGATGCAAAGTTTATAAGAAAGTACTCCATCCGTTCAAGAAAACATTAAAGTACGAGTTACGTGCGGGCAAAAGTAGTTTATGTTTGACCAAATTTTTAGTGAATATTATTCACATTTATGACTCCAAATTAATTTATTAATAAAAAAATATATTTCATAATTAATCTAATGATATTTATTTCATATTTATAAATATTAATATTTTTTTATCTATAATTAATCAAACTTGAGATACTAAACCATGACACTGTGCTAGAATTGAGGGAGTAAGTTAAAAAAAAGTTTATAAGAAAGTATGCACCAATATCGACAACACACATAAGGTTAGTTCCGAAATGCTTATGTTAACTACTACACCATAAACTATGTCTTCAAGGCGTATTTATTTGTTAATTGCATCCACGCGCTAAGATGTTTGACTATAACTAATTAAGCTTAGACTGTGTTAGCAGAGTTAACCTATGACAAAACTAGTCCAACTCATGTATTTTAGAAACAAAATGGAGTATATCAGAATGTTTGTCCATAAACTTTGACCCAACCAAACTACAAACACCTTATGTTTTTAATTCAGGGTGGTATATAAACTCCCTCCATATCAAAAGTTTGAAATTCTAGATTCACACCAAGATGAATATCTTTAAGTTTGAATTATTCTGTAGAAAATAATATCTCTTTTTTTGTCTCAAATAAGTCTATTATGATAATATAATTTACAAATAATTTAATAACACTAATTTCGTATTATAGTTGTTACTGTTTTTAAAGATGTAATCAGATTTAAGATTGTTTCATATTTTAGAACTGTATTTGTTTTTTTTTGGGTCAGGGTGAGCACAACAAGCAGAGCCGTAATAATAATTAAAATCTATTATATACTAGTATAATCTTCGTCGACGACCCGGCGATCGGCGACCATGACATGCCATGTTCCCTGGCAAGTTTGGATCTTTCACGTCCGATCCGAACACAAACCAGGCGGAGCCGTCACATGCCCCCGGGGGCCAACGTGCGCCGGAGTGCTCGGCACGACGCCGGAGGCGAGACCGAGAGCAGCGGCAACCGACGACGACGAGGAGCCCGTGCCGTGGACCGGGGCCAGGCCGGCGGGGCTTGAGCGAGCCCGAGTGCGTGCCTGACTGACTGCTGCTGGGTCGGCCGATCGTGGCAAGTGCAGTCGACGCAGGAATGCGCACGTACGGATCAAAGGTCGTTACATTATAGACACGTGTACCGGAATGTCGTGCAGTGGTTCGGCCATCCGATTGGAATCAAAGTTTTTTATTATAGGGTATATATATTTGGAAATTTTGGATGTGTAGTACGACTGTACGAGGACGGCTGCACGTACGGTACGGCCGATTAGCAGAGTATTGAAATGTTTGCCGTGGTCTGCTTGTCACGGAAAAATCAATATAGTTCAGGTGTTTTAATTTTTAAGATCCTCAAAAAAAGTGTTAATTTTTAAGAAATTTTAGGCAACAATCTTATACACAATTGAAACGGTAATTTATAAAAGACAATCCACCTTTCCTATATAGCTAAACGATAACAAAATTGTTGATGTAGGTTACTTACGCACTCACAGTCACAGCAACGTGAACGCATCACGACGAACCGGCCAGCAGCGTTCTCGCACCACGAAGGAAGAAGAAGCACAAGATGGAGACACCTCACCTCTCACCTCAGCACCTCCAGTCACCACGGCATCCCATTCGCAGCCCCGTCCATGGTCAGAGGATATAGGGAGCGTCAGCGTCAGCGGTCGTGGTCAAGTCCGAGAGTCCGAGGTCGCCGAGACAAAACAATCGCACCTGCTACTACCATCCCGCCGATTGATTAGCAGGGGCCATGCAGGTTCTTGTCTTGTTAGGATGTTATAGTATTAAAAAACCATATCAATAAACTGTAGTTTAAGAAAATGATATGTAAAACCGTGGTTTAGAAAAAAAAAACTCTAGAGTGGAGTTTTTAAAACTCAAAAAAAACTACAGTTTTAATAATATTATAGTATTTAAAACCATAAAATTTGGTGCATCTAAACACTTCATCATATTCTAGACCCAAAGTATTTTACAAAATTATGGTATTTTCCTAAAACTCCAAAAATATTTTGTATCCAAACATGGCTTTACTCGCTTCCTTAATCGGCCGTCAGTGCCCTGTCCCCACCGCCCAGTGAAGAATCAACGGCCCGCCACACGGGCCCCACTCACGGCTCTCGCCTCGCCTGCTGCTTCCTGCCCCGACGGCCGCCGGCACCCCCTCCCGCTGCCGTGCCGGGTGGTTGGCCGCCTCGCTGTCCGCGCGCCGGTCAACCGCGTCGTGCTCGTGCCTGCACTGCACCCCCCACCGACTACGAACTCGCGATGGCCTCCTCGCTTACGGATGCCTAGACTTTATATTGCACTAGATGCCGCTGGAGGTACTGTACAGTAACAGTATGGATCAATTCCTCGCCGTAAGCCGATGGAGAACTCTCCTATTACCGCATTGTTTAATGGTCTAATCGCCCCGTAGATCCAGCTCGGCACGGCAGCTTAAGACCAGTCTCCTTCCGCTTCCTCCCTTTCTCCCTTCAGCTTGGCATCTCCACCCTTCCTTCCTTCCTTCCTTGCCTGGCGTTCCCACCCCCTGCCACCTCGCCCGCTCTCGGTTCCTCCCCCTCGGCCCTCGGCGGCTCGGCCGGCGTCTCCTCGGGAGTAAAGGGGGCTGCTTTGGGCGCGGCGCGGCGCGGCCCCCCCAGATCTGGGCCGCGGGTGCCAGCCGGCGGCGGCGGGCGGCAGGAGGAGCAGGACGGAGGGCGGGATGAAGTCGTCGCTGAGGAGCCGGCAGGAGCCGCGGCGGGTCAGCAACGGCGTCATCATCGGCGCCATGCTGCTGTCCCTCTGCGTCCTCAGCATCGTCAAGGCCAGATACTGCGCCACCCCCTTCGGTGCGTTGCGTGCGAGTGCGTGCGTGCCTTCGTCGCCCGCCCGCCCTCTCTCTCATCTCGTCCCTTTCCTTCGTCTGTGTGGAGGTTGTGGGGACTGCGGCTGACGCTGCTGTGGTGTGATTCGTGCAGGCAAGGCCGAGGACCAGCTCCAGGAGCAGATGAACTCCAGCATCCGGATGGAGCCGGAGGAGTCCTCGCCGGCCAGGACACCCGGAGGTCTGTCTTTTCTGCTCTGCTGCCGGAATCAAATCGAGCTCCCAGGGTTTCTAATCTCTCGGAAATTCGGCCACCCCACGGTCTGCGCTGACAAATTTCTTCTCTTGCGGTCTCTCAGAGGAGGAGCCAGAAGAGGAAGAAGAAGATGGGGCGTCGGCCACCACCTCCGCCTCCGCCGCCACCACGACGCCTGCGGTGATGAAGACGACGCCGACGGCCGTCCCGACCACCGGTGGCAAGGGCAAGCCGAGGGCCAAGCCGACGTGCTACATGACGAGCAAGCGCTCGGAGCGGTGCGATGCGTCAGGTGACATCCGAGTGGACGGGAACCGCTCCGCCATCTACGTCAGCGGGATAGACCGGGAGTGGAAGACCAAGCCGTACGCGCGGTACCACGACCCCGTCGCCATGGCCCACGTCCGCGAGTACACCCTCAAGCCGCTCCCGGCGGCGCCGGCGCCGGCGTGCACCAGGAACCACTCCGTTCCTGGCTTCCTCTTCTCCAACGGCGGCTTCTCGGGCAACCTGTACCACGACTACACCGACGTGCTGGTGCCGCTGTTCATCAGCACGCACCAGTTCCGTGGCCGCGTGCAGTTCCTGCTCAGCGGGATGAAGCCGTGGTGGGTGGGCAAGTTCACCCCCTTCTTCCGGCAGCTCACCAAGTACGACGTCATCGACGTGGACAACGACCAGGAGGTGCACTGCTTCCCCCGGATCGTGGTCGGCGCCACCTTCCACAAGGACATGGGCGTGGACCCTCGCCGGTCGCCGGGCCACGTCTCCGTGGTGGACTTCAAGCGCGCGCTGCGCCGCGCGTTCGGTCTGGAGCGCGAGGCGGCGTCCCGCGGCGGCGTCACGGGCCACGGCAAGCCACGCCTCCTCATCATCTCCCGCCGTGGCTCCCGGCGGTTCCTGAACGAGCGGGAGATGGCGCGGGCCGCCGCCGACGCCGGGTTCGAGGTGCGGCTGGCGGAGCCCGACCAGCACACGGACATGGCCACGTTCGCGGCGCTGGTGAACTCGGCGGACGTGATGGTGGGCGTGCACGGCGCCGGGCTCACCAACATGGTGTTCCTGCCCCGCGGCGCCGTGCTCATCCAGGTGGTGCCGTTCGGCGGGCTGGAGTGGCTCACGAGCGTCACGTTCAAGGACCCCGCCGCGGACATGGAGGTGAGCTACATGGACTACAACGTGAAGCTGGAGGAGAGCTCGCTGATCGACCAGTACCCGAGGAACCACCAGGTGCTCACCGACCCCTACGCCGTGCACAAGCAGGGCTGGGACGCGCTCAAGACGGCCTACCTGGACAAGCAGAACATCCGGATGGATCTGGACAGGTTCAGGGCCACGCTGCGGGAGGCGATGAACCGGTTGCCGGCTCCGTGACCGCCGGCCGCCGTGAGCTCCAACTGCCCGGTCCGGAGGTGGGAGGAGGTAGATAGGTTGGTGTATCTATCGTCCCCGCTGTATGCTCAAGTTGACTCTTCTTCCTCCCTTTTTCCTTCGTTCCAGGCTATCTCCAACAACAACACCCAAAATATAAAATATATGACCCATTTGTTCTTTGGGTATTGAGTAGCGTTACAACCAAAAAATTCAATAACTATTTAGTATCTTCTCTAACAACGAGATCCCAAAAATAATCCTTTCTGTAAATGAGTTTCCGAGAGAGAGGATGTTCATATTTGGATTGTATCTCTTAAATAATCTAAAATAGGTCTTCCGCATAGGTATTCTGGTGGAGACTAATTTTGGATCTCTTGCTATTCATTTTCATTTTAGCTTTGATACCCATATAAGTTTCTTGGTAGAGACAGTCTTACTAGCAAGATTCATTTGATCCATTGTTTTGTTGTGTTATTATTACTACTACATAAGGAATCTCATGGGAAAATGATGAGCAATCAAAGCAAGACCAGGTTATAAATTTATAATATAGAGAGAGGCCAGCTGAATCCAGCACAGATGTTTATTTGTTAATTTATACTAGTATAGTAAGTAAACCCTTTTGTGATTATTGGTTACTCATGTAGTCATGTGTATGGATGCCAAGATCAAGATGTAAAGTACTCCAGCAAGGATTATGAAACTTTATTAGGTCATCTCTGACCTCCCCCATTTCTGAATTTCTCCTCAAGGTTTTTGCCATCTCTGCTCAGCCATTGTCGTGTATGCAAGTTCCCTATCGCGGTGGGCGGTGGCTGGATCGCATTTCTGTGCCTGCCTCCAAATGGAATGGGGTCGGTTGAATGGGTAGTTGTAGCAAGCAGCAGAAGTGACTGGGCCAAAGCCTGGTTTGGCCACTGGCCAGCCAATGGAACTATGGAAGCGTCCACGGCAGCGGAGCGCACCCACCGCGACGGCGACGGGCGCATCGCGTCAGCGGACAGCGGCCGGAGGGCGCGGGGATGAGGCGGTAGTGGAACGGAGCGGAGGAAAAGGTCAGTGACTTTGCCGTGCAGGCCTGGCTCTCCCGTTGTCGCGGCGCTGTTCGGCAGGACGGCGGCGGAGGAGGAGGAGGATGGGGGCCGTCTCGTGACGAGCGGACGGGGCGGGATCGCGGCGTGATTGCCGGACGGCTGGCTCGATCCCAAGGAAGGAGAAGGCTGGGTTGGGTTGGGTCCGTCCGCCCGTCCGCCCGTCCGCCACGGCTCCTCGTCAACGCACGCACGCGTCACTTTCGCGGAAGTGCGACGCCCTCTGCCAAACGGCCAACTGCCCCACCGTGTTGTCACCTTGGACGAGGACGAGAAAAGTGGGAACCAGAAGCTTCCATCCGCTCTTTCCCGTGTAGCGGTGCAGCCCTCGTGCCATAGACCGTGCATGGGAAAAAAACCAGTCGGCCCCCGGATATGGATATCCACCGTCCGAGTTTTTGTGGTTACATTAACACGTCGGTCTGCCATCATACCATACCAAGAAGAACCAAGGCAGCTAGGCCTGGGCGTTCTGATCAAACCAAACTGATTGATTCTTGGACCATTTAGGACCAAGCAAGTTTGGTCTCAATTAATTCGGTTCGGTCTTCGTCATGACCGAACTAATCGGACTAGACAAAACAACTACTAAATATTGTAATTTGTAGCAAATTTTAGCAATATTTTTTCCATTTCAAGGCAAAAATAACAATACAAATATAGATTAAACAAAGTGATAAGAGCGATGGTTGATATAAACTCACTAGAATAAATATTGCATCACTAATAATAGTCTAATGTACACATTATGTCAACAAAATCAAAATAATTGGTTAGTTCGGTGTCGATGTTTTACCACCGGCAACCCATCACGGGGTACCCGGGACGGTGATTTGTTCGGAGGGGTATCGGCGTTTGTAGGAACTCGATGGTAAACGAAGGGAGACAATGATTTATACTGGTTCGGCACGTCGGAAAGTCACGGCGCCTTACGTCCAGTCTGGTGTGGATAGTATATTGAGCCCTGTGCTATTTGTTGTATTGCGAGGTATGTTATGGTTGTGAGTTCTGTCGGTTATGTGTAGGTGGGTCTAGGTACCGATCTAGGGACCCCTGCCCTCCTTTATATAGTCCAGGAGAGGCGGGAGTCCTAGTCGGTTACAAAGTAGAGATCCTAGTAGGATTACGTGTAACTAGTTCTAGTAAGATTACATGTATGGAACTAGGTCTTCTTCTCTCTTCTCCGTGGGAAACCCCATGGGTCCCGCATCGACAAGCCCCGAGCATCTCATGGATGAGCTTCGGAAGCCTTCTTGTTCTTCTTGGCCTTCGTTGAGTTGTTGTAAATCCATTCCAGGTTCTTCTGAAGTGAAACCTTGAGATGGTCTTCTTTTGGTTGGTTCGTCATGACTGATGTGCACTTTTTTTCTAAAAAAAATGCACTCAGTGAGTGTAGCCTCCGAGCCTCTTGCTTGTTGGGACAAGAAGCCAGAGGGTCCCTTTAGTCTTCTTGGTTGCTCCGAGTTTTTTTTCGTGGGTGTAATTTTTCGTAAAAATTGCACTCACTGAGTGTAGCCCCCGAGCCTCTTGCTTTTGCTTACAAAAGTTGGAGGGTCTAGATTCTTGTCTTCAAAAATTTCTAGGGTTATGTATCCCGCAGCCCCCGAGCCTTCTCCGAGTTCTTTTCTTTCAAAAAGAAATCGGATGAAGGGTCTTGATGTGTTGTCGTTTGTCTTGAGTACTTGTATTCTTGGTCTTTCATCCTTGAATCCGAGCCCCCGGGCGTAGTTGAAGCGAATGCCGAGCCCCCAAGCTTAGTGTTTGACTAAGCCGTGATGCTCTTCCGAGTTGTTTTTTATTCCTCCAGGTCGTTTTCTAGACTTCTCTCGTTCTTGATGTACTTTTTTCCAGTTGTTTGCACTTCATCCAGTTCTTTCTCGAACTTGTATGTACCTCATCCGGTTGTTTTTCGATCAATCCAAGTTCTTTTTTGTCTTGATTTCTGTTCCCAACTTATCTGGGTTGTTTTTCTTCAATCCGGGTTCTTTCTGATCTTGTCTTGGTCCTTGCCGCACCTTGTCGGGGTTCTTTTTTGATCAATCCGGGTTCTTTCTGATCTTGTCTTGATCCTTGCCGCACCTTGTCGGGGTTCTTTTTTTATCAATCCGGGTTCTTTCTGATCTTGTCTTGGCTCTTGCCGCACCTTGTCGGGGTTCTTTTTTGATCAATCGGGTTCTTTTTGATCTTGTCTTGGTACTTGCAGCACCTCTTCGGGATTGTTTGCGCTTCATCCAGGTTCTTTCTAAACTTTGTATGTAACTCATCCGGGTTGTTTTCTGATCAATCCGGGTTCTTTCTAAGCTTGTCTTGGTTCTTGCCGTACCTCTTCGGGGTTCTTTTTTGATCAAACCAGGTCGTTTCTTAACTTATCTGAGTAAAGTAGCTCTCAGGAGCGTGTTTTTCCTGATCTCTTGGTACAGATGTAGCTTTCCTGCATGTTAAACATAAAAATATGTTGGAAATGACATTCCGGATATAAAGTGGGGAGCATGTCCCATATTTGAATAATCAATCAGGGGCGGGCCCCGGCATTATGAAATGCATATAAACTTTTTGCGTCTTGCTCTTGCTAGGCCATGCAAATTCCTCAGGTAGTGTCCTGTTACGTTTAAGCACTTGAATCTCTGGCGTATGGTTCAGAGGTTCATGACGTGACCATGTGAGCCTGGCACTCGGTTCGTGACCGTCCATGTGAGTAGACAAGTTTCACGGATTAAGGCGTGTTCTACCTGAGGACTTTAGCGACCGTTAAGAGAAGACTTAGAGCACTATGTTTGCTCACATGATGATTTTACTTAGAGCACTATGTTTGTTCGCATGATGATTTTTTATGTCTTCCCTTGCTAGGTCGGTTAATTTCCTGGGTAGTAGCCTGTTACGTTTAAGCACTTGAATCTCGCGTATGGTTCAGAGGTTCATTGACGTGACCACCCGTATGGTTCAGAGGTTCTTTGACGTGACCATCCGTATGGTTCAGAGGTTCATTGACGTGACCATCCATTCGAGAAAACAAGCTTCACGAATTAAGGCTTACTATCCGAGAAAACTAACAGCCGTTAAGGGAAGATGATATGACCACAGAGGCATACGAATAATATCCGGAATGTAAAAAATTAAAGCGTCACTTAGCTTGGTTCATGGCAGAGTTGTCGATCGCCGCAGCCGAGTAGTTGGACGGCGTGATGTGCAGCCGAGTAGTTGGCGTAGCATCCGAGTAGTCGGATGTGGTTCAAATTGTTTTGCTTCCGTGGCTTCTTGCATGTCTTAGACATATATACGCGTGTGTATATATATATATACACACACACACGCATGCCTCTTTCCTTATTTGCTTGTTGCTCGCAATCGTACGGGTACACATGCACCGCATAGATCCGTAGCTTGCATGTCTTGAGCTGCCTTCTAATAGCTTCTAAGTTTAGTCGTTGACGTCATCTTGTATAGCCGTAATTAGCTGGTATTCTTCCTTGCTTGCATGTCGCCGGTTTGTGTAGGAGCTGGACTCAGCATGCCCGAGTTGTATTAGAATCTGCATGGAGCCGAATTGTTGACAGAGGTGGTGTGGCGGTCTGTCTTGTTCTGGTTTGTCCGAGTTGTGGTCGAAGTCGGCACCAGCTTGAGTAGAGTTCAACTCGGAACCAGCGATGCTCGACGGAGAGCGTGCGTGGGTTAGAGTCGGACTCTGCTCTGAGTGGGCTCAAGTCCACACGTGGTGCTTCCTTGCCGCTGTGTTTTGTCTAATGCCATTAGTCTTGCATGTAGATTCTTCTTGGATCAACGGAACGTGCGGTTGCATGGCATCCTCCGTTGTTGTGAACACGCTTAAGCTGAAGATGGCGAATTGTTGACGAGGTCTTCGTGACGAATCTTGATCTTGAGGTCCACCGAGCTCTCGAACGCAAAGCGCCG